TTTAGATTAGCATGTCATCCATGCTCTTTTTCCTGTCACAGGGTGGTTATGTGACTTTGGAATTTGCATAACTGAACAAAAATATTTTGGTAGTTTAACACAATTAAATAGGCAGGTATTATTCTTACTGTTCTATTTTTATAAGTGCACATATTCAGTACTGCTAAAGAAACAGTTGGTAAACTAACTGCATTAACTTGTCTGGATCAGTTGGATCCATCCTCAAAATACAATATTCTGACAGAGGTCCACCTGCACCATTTTTAATATTATGATCACTATCGACTATTTCAGAGCTCACTGATAGTATTGTTTCAACATCACATATGCTACAAGATCTAGCATATCACTTCAGTCACAAAAATAAACTCCCATCACACAGAAATAGGCATAGTTTGTAATAAAACCAGCAATAAACTAATGCAAAACATACTGAACTCTTTCCATATATCTTTATGCATGTATCTTTCATTAATATGGTTCAATCACTTCAACCAGGGGACACTCAATCCATTACAGCATTTACAGGAAATAAACTGATGAATATGTGTTAGGCAATACTAACAATAATTCTTTAATTTGGGACTCGTGTACTCATAGAGCAATCTCTCCTATGAAATATCTGATATATCAGAGAATGCAAACACTGCTATATATTTACAAATATCAGCCCTACAAATAATTTCAAATGTTTACCAGCCTTACCATTCATAGCGCAAATGAATCCAAGATAAACAGCTTAAAAGGATCTCAACATACAATGAAGAACTGATTTTACATATTTCTTAGCAAAAGACTTCAATACTCCAAAAACTAAGACAAATGTATTGCAAAACATGTTCACAACAATAATTTTGCAGCAGCTGCTCTAAAGAATGCAGAGGAACCAAATCAACTCTCCCACAAGAAGTCCAATGGCAGATATTAAAGGACTGTTTGGAGTGCTATATTAAGAAGTAGCTTATGTTGATGGCAATTTGTGAATAAAATTGTGAAGAGCTGCCAGCTGGATATATTTATGAAATATACCTAACCACTAAAGGAAGGCATTTTCTCTAGAAGCATACATATTTATGTATGACTACCAAACTGTAGTTGTGGCCCTTACTGATGAGTTCCGTTTAAAAATTGTTAAGGGAAACCAAATCTTATTGATCTCATTAGACTTTTGTGTGGCATGGCAACGCTAAGTGTGTTGTGCCTCCTCCTCAGTGTCGCATGCTTTGTCTTAAAAGAAAAGCATATAACATATGGTAACAATGCTACAAGTGGACCCCTTAAGAAACCATCTTGGCAAGCTCCTGCAGGTCTCATCAAAATGGATGGAAGAATAGAGAAATGTCACTGGGGTTCATCATTGTGCTCTACCTCATTCATCCAACCTAAGTTCTGCAGTCCTAAAAGTGCTTGTTGGTAGATCAGGACTAAAAATACTGACATGGCAATAAACTAAATATTAGATATAAATAATAGATACCAAGCAATGTCAGAGTAATAATGACTGCATGCTTTAGTTGTGGATTGCCTTGAAGAACCATGATTTTCAATGCTATTAGCATGATGACTTGTGGTTTTATCTGGCTGGTTTCTTAAAAATATGTAAAAGATTTCAAATTGAACTATTCCAAATTCAAAGCACCATTTTGGATAGAAAATTGGAGTGTTTCAACTGCTTAAGAAATATCCTGTGTCCATAACATAGTGATTTAAACACTATGCATATAGAACACTCCTATAACAGCTTGTTCTATACTCATAATAGCCATTTCATACTTGAAATGTGATTCATGAATTCAAAATGGTTCAACTTTGAAGCATTTTGCACATCCCTAAATCTTCAATACTCTTATGAAACAAGATGCTAGGAAACCACACAAAAATTAATTCATGTAAGATTATAATTGATACATTGTTCTGTACTAAATGCATTCAAAGACTGGAAAACTAGCTGTATGGGATACTTTAGCTTAGACTTCTATAATGAGTATTGGTTGTCTTGACAATTAAATGTCTACCTTCAGTTCTATTACAATTGTTTGAAATGAAATGAGGACAGAAAAATTGATAAAATTCAGAACTCATCATAAACCTTTAATTTTGTATTTAGTAATAAGCCTCCTAGAAACAGCAAGTCTTGCTTCTAAACATTTAGAAGATTAGGCTGTACAACATCAAATAACCTGAGCTCAACATAGTTTATCTGGAAATTCTTATAAAGATCCAAAATATCAACAGACTACAGCTCTTTGTTACAGCTTTATATAGGTAGTCCTCAACTTAGAACCATTGTTTAGTGACTATTTGAAGTTACACAGGCACTGAAAAAAGTGACTTATGACCAGCTTTCACACTTATAACCAATGCAGCATTCCTTTGGTATGTGATTAGAATTTGGATGCTTGGCAACTGGCATGTATTTATGATGGCTGCAGTGTGATTACCTTTGGCAACCTTCTGACAAGCAAAGTCAATGGGGAAGCCAGATTCACTTAACAACCGTGTTGCTTGCTAACTTAATAACTGCAGTGATTCACTTAACAACTATAACAAGAAAAGTCAGAAAATGGGGCAAAACTCACCAAACCACTTCTTGCTTAGCAACAGAAATTTTGGGAATATGGATGCATATGTAGATTTCAAAAATAACTGGCTCATGTGCAGAATTTTTTCCCTGACAATCCATCAAAATTCAGGTATAAATATTTTTAAAAAATATTATTAAAAAAATTCTGTTAGTTTTGGATACCATGTCAATAAAAGGGCAAATAGGATGAGACACATGTGATTTTCCATGAAGGGAAAGCATGGTACTGCATATTTGTCTTTAGTCTTCAAGATTAGATGAAAGGAAATAGAACTTTACAAGAGAATACTTCCTTTCAATTAGCAGATACAAAACTTTATTTTAGACTGGCTATAACATAATCCAATATAAATATTGTAAAATAATATCCAAAATGTCAGTTTACTCAGTCCCCACAAATTAGAGAAATCTTCCATCACTTTACTTCCATCTCTTATGTCATACAGGGTCCCCATAAATTAATTCCAAGGTTCACTTAAAGAATCAACTATTTTCCTAATAAATACTCGCCTAAACCAAAATTTAGAATTAGTTGCCCAAACAAGGATTCTTGTAAACATTCTAAATGTTTTTTTTAAAAAAACAGTTGAGTTCCTTTAACAAAACAGGTTATCACTTCCCATAGAGTAGTACTTCACAAGTCACTGAGCTACTTTCCTGCAACATATTTCGGAGTGTAACATGAATATAAGCAAAATAAATCCAATTAATACATTCAGGAAAATAATTAAATGGACATGATTTTGAGTCTTCCCATTTCACACAATATAGCAATTTAGGTATGAAGATGAACATGACTGTTCCAGGCAATATTGCTGTTTCCATTATTATAAATCAATTGAAGGGCACTGAAGAAAGATTCTCAAGGTACCTCCAGATTTCAGTTATAATTACTTATGAATCGAATGGATTTTACACACCAACATCTTATAGAATTATTTTTCTTATTACAAATTATTAGTCTTCATGATCAAGGTATCTCCCCTGCCAGGTAAGTATAAATTATTAGTCTTCTTATATAGAAATATTTGAAATATATTTATTTAATAATAATAATAAAGTTGGAAGGGACCTCGGAGGTCATCTAGTCCAACCTCCTGCTCAGGCAGGAAACCCTATACCATTTCGGACAAATGGCTGTCCAGTTTCTTCTTAAAAACTTCCAGTGTTGGCGCATTCACCGCTTCTGGAGGCAGGTTGTTCCACTGGTTAATTGTTCTAACTGTCAGGAAGTTTCTCCATTACAATAGAAGACAATTTGAGCATAGCTCAATATACCTTTAGAAAATTAGCCTGTGTATACTTATATAAATAACATTGCTCCCTACGGCCTCCTGAACAAAAATCTACAGATAGATAAATTATAAAACTAATACTTTCTATTCAATATTTAAGAGTAACGGGACATGTAATTCAACATTATCTGGTATCCAAAAACAAGATGATGCTCAAAATTACTGAAAGGATACCAATCCACAAAGAACTATTTTAACTTTTACAAAAAACAGTGTTCTATAAAAAGTATTCTTTGTCATTTTCTATTAGGCCTTAAATGACCTCTTCACTTTTTAGTACAGTACTTATCCTTTTTGGTATACTACATTTACATTATCATCTACCTATTCATAGGGTTAGGATTGCAAGGAAAGATTTAACTTAATTAGCCTTCAGATTGAGTAAACAATATATACTTTCACAGTGAAGAGTAAATGTAGCAAAACATGTGTTTTGCACACCACTTCCTCCCTGAAGGGGGAGGGTGCAAAGAACAGGAAAAGTATCCTTTTGATAATAAAGAAACCACAAGAAAGCTAAGCAGACATCAGTAAATTCCTGTTTTTAGAAACAGGACTATTTTCCATTTGAATCAGAGGAAAATATGCTGCACTTTTATCAAATGTAAACCCAAAATAAAAAAACATCAAGAAACGAGGAGTGGTAGAAATATTTTTAGTGTCTCTTTAAAATGCTGTTAATTACAAAATTGAGACATAATTCTACATATTATAGCCCTCAGTAATCACTAAAGTGATCACTTTATTGCTTTATTAAGTGAAAAGCAAGATGACATTCTAGGTAACTGCAAATATGCCAACCCTGTACAATAACCATGCCTCTAAACTTCACACACCAATGATTTCAATAGAAAGTAAAATGTAAAAACAGTATTTATTATTTAGTTGCAAGTTAAGCAACATCTCACAGATATATATATCCCAAAGATATATTTAATGTTTAGCTACATTGTTACATCAGGATGTTTGCATACTAAGCATACGCTTTTTCATTTTTTAAATTGAAAAATTTTAAAAATATATTGCTCTTGACTTACATATATAACTTAGCATGCATATCTCAACTTAAACTATTAAAATATATTATTTATATCTAGAGTTTGTTGAAGAGCCTCTCTTACCACAATTGCATTAGAAGAATGCACCAATGGCTTCAGTTCATTCAGGTCGTTCTCAGCCTACAAAATGTAATGTTAAAAACAGTTAAGAGAAATAAAAAAGTAAACCAAAGTTGGTGAAATATACTGTATTATCTATAAATTAATAACCTAGACTTCTTTGTTTACTTAGAATTAAGCCTCATTGTAATGAACAGATTGGCTTTACTTTTAAGATACTATGCATAAGGTTGCAATCAATGTTACAATTAGGTAACCTTATGCTTCTTTTATTACCTTATCCCATTCTCCTTCCATGACATGATTGCGGAATTTGGTGGCAGAAGGGTGTTCTAAACGACATCCTGACTCTTGCATGAGAAGATCAACAGTCTGGCTGTGAGAGAGAGGCATAGTGTTCTTAAAAAGTTGACCAGTCTTTATTCTTATTCTTACAGATAAGCCATCCAGTGTAGCCTTAGTCCAACATATTTTAAAAATATAACAAAAATTGCCTGGGCTTTCTCAATACATTCTAACAAATATGACATATTTTTCTACTATTATCAAGAAATATTTTCTGTCAGGAAATACTTTACTTAATAATCCATAAACTTACATTATTACTTCCCCAATTATTTAAAATGAAAAGTGCTGTTTTCCCTGTGTTAAACTCTATAACTATCAAAAAGTTTGCCTCTTACTATAAACTTGACTTGTGTCAATCACATGTTTATTCTGTGTTCTAAGTTAATATCAGCTCATTCCTGCAGTGGTTCAAGTTTTCACCCTATAAAGACCTTAGGATCTTAGTTTTCCAAGGATACACAATTCATATATTCTCAACATTAAACCAGTTGCTATTATACTACACTACTCTCAGGTTTGTTTTAGTAATTCAAATTACTGATGAACCATGTTTATTTGCTTTTCACCCTTCCCCCATTCCAGTGCATGCCTATTACTCAGCTCAAAGTACTGCAGTGCTGCAAGCTACATAAGAGTCAACATAGCTGACATTAATTTTAAGTACATTCCAAGGGGGTTAGACATAGGTATATTTCAAGTTCAATTTTAATACTATCAATCTACAGTTTAAAATGTTAGTTTAAAATGATAGAACATCTGTATGTGTAGGCTGTTTTGCTGTAATCTAAAACACTTGTCTTAGACCCATCTGAAAAATTTTCATACACTACTGTATTTAAATGCTAGTTTACCAATATAATCTCTGTATTTTACCTGTCTTTAAATAAAAGTGCTGTTGGGTGTCTCAGAAATTTTACCGGTTCTCTTAAAACGAAATTCACATTGGACTAGGCCTGAAAAATAGGCCCTGTCGTCTCACTGCCTTCAACTCTACATTCACTGTTTTTATTTACCCCTCACATTTCTGTCTTTGGTATTAAATTGTAACATACGAATTTTGAACAAAAATTCTCTCCATTGGAGAAGTATAAATCACCATACAAAATGTTGGCTCCCCCCCCCCACTTAGGTATATAATTGATCTTAATATAAACAAGTCTGTCAGAGTTATTGTTCTCATCAACACAAACCTAGATCCATATTCTCGCCAAACAATCATCCGATGTTGCTTCCTACAAAAACAGATATTAACAAGAGGAATATCATCCATCTCCTCTCAAACTCTCCCCCCCCCCCTCTTCCCAAAGGCAACGCGAGGAAAGGGGCTGGAAGTACAACATGGTGGGGCAAAGTCATCCTCCGGACGATCTTCCCCCCACACACATTCCTCAGGTTTATTTGGGAGCCGGGATGCATTTGCAACTCATAGTCGCCCCACTTACTTGAGTCCCAAACCGTGGAGGTGCTGCCCGATGAGCCGGATCACGTCCTCGTCGGATTGCGAAAGTCGCTTCTTCTTCTTCAGGGCGCTGCTGCCGACGCCGCTGCCTCCCCCCATCTCAAGCGCAGACCCGCCGGGGGCCGAGACCCCATTATTGACACTCGGTCCGCCGCCACCGTCGCCGTTGTTGGCCGACGGCAGCAACCCATTGGCGTGAGCTAACTGCTCTCCAGTGGTCAATCCCGACGAGGCCTCGCCGTTTTGGGCGTTGAGGCAGCCCAGATCCGGACCCTGTGACGACGACGACGGCGGCGGCGGCGGCGGCGGCTGTTGCTGCTGACCCCCTCCTGCTCCGTTGGCCTGCATGGCGCTGCCGCTGGCTCTGAGGGGGGTGGCAGCCGGGGGGGCAAGCCCGCAGGAGAGCGAGGGGGATGAAGACGAGGTGAGGCCTGCTCTGCCCGCGGAAGCCCCGGGCTCTCCTGCTCCCTCCGCCGCCGCCGCCGGGGAAGCCCGCGCTTTCTTCCGCGGTGGCGGGGAGGCTCCGCCGGTGTCCGAGTCGGAGGAGGAGGAAGCGGAGGCCAGAGTTTCCTCGCCGAGAGCGGCCGTGGTGGGAAGCCGGGGGGGGGGAGTGAGGAAGGGGAGGAGGGGTAGGGTGGGATGGGGGAGGTGGCGGGGTAAGGAACGGGGAGCTGCTCCTCTCCCCGGGGCGCTCTTAGACAGCAGCAGCTGCTGCTACCCTTTCTATGGTCCCGCCAGGGAACGCGGCCCGAAACAGCCCCCGCCTGGCAGCCCAGGCACCCAGCCCGCTCCTCTCCACTCGCTGGTCGGTTTGAGGCTCTTCTGCCTAGCTGCAGCCTAATGGAGTCTGGGCCGGGACGTCACAGGAAATTCCTATACTGCCCCTTCACTCACTTCCGCCGCCGCCGCCTGGGGTAGGCTTCGGGGTACGGCGGCGGAGGAGCTCGGGACGGTCTCGACAGCACCACCCCCTGGGCGGGCGCAGACCCCCGACTCAGGGGGCTTTTGTCATAACACCTGCCGGGGGGGGAGGGCACTTCCTGGTGATGATTCGGCTTGACTCGCTTCAGATGTCCATATAGGGAGTAGGGAAAGGCTGCAGGTAGATATACTAATAAATGGTACACTCACTTGGATCTCTTTCTAAAATAAAATAAAAAAATATTCTTTTTCTGAGGCTCTGTGGTTTCAGATTTTGAATGTCCTTCTATATTATCCAGATCCAATAGAAGATCTCCTTCCGGAATAATAAAAAAAGTCTTGTGGCTCAACTCCTTTGTTTTTAACTAGCCCAGACTGACACGGCTCCTCTCTTAAAAATGGCCTCAGCGCGTTCTTTTGTACTTAGTAAATAAAGATTGAGATGTTGTGCGGTGATGTTTGTAGAACATTATATAGCTTTTCCAAAGTAGCAGAAGAAAAATTTTCCCCCCTTTATCGCCATCTATACAATCAAAACAGTGCTACTCATTTGATAGGTTAGATATAGCAAGCTCTTATCAAGCCTGGCACAGCTGTAGAAAACAACTTTTCTCATTTATTTCCAAAAGAGAAAAAAAAATCAGGGTGTGGGGTATTGGAGGAGAATTATCGTAACTTTTTAAGAAAAAAAATACGATTTTTAAAACACATTGGTAAAAGCTTAACAATATGGACCTTTCTGTAGGGCAGATAGGCAGCCTGAGCTTTGTTTACTTTCTCTTTAAAAATTAAATAGTTCTATAATAGGACAGTTTGCATGACGTATTAAAGCATAATATAGTACAGTGGTTCTCAACCTGTGGGTCAGGACCCCATTTGGGGTAGATCGACCATTTAATGGGGGTCGCCAAGCAAGGCTGTCTGCCATTTTTTTTGTCCGCCATTTTTTCCCCCTTTTCCGGCGGGTGCCTTACCTCCCTTGGGCTGGGCCAGCTGGTGGTCGGCCTGCTCCGTCTCTGCCGCTTGCCAGCTATGCCTCGGCCGGCGCAGGGGGCGGAACCACGCATGCGCGACGCTGCCGGGCAGGGAAAGTCCTCGACTTACGACCGGTTTAGTCCTCGACTTATGACCGGTTTAGTCCTCGACTTACGACCGGTTGGGGTCGCGGCATTAAAAAGGTTGAGAACCACTGATATAGTACCATATTTCCCCCCCTCCACCCACATATACATAGACACTACTTTGTGCTACTCTTGCCCCCTACTAAATCACTCCTTTAAATAGGGTAAAAGGCTTACTTAACACTTACTGCCTTGTGTAAATCCAAAAGCTGCCACTTGTGGAACATTTGGCCTTGAGTTCCTAGAGCAGGGGTAGGCAACCTTGGCTCTTTTATGACTCGTGGACTTCAACTCCCAGAGGAATTCTGGGAGTTGAAGTCCACGAGTCATAAAAGAGCCAAGGTTGCCTACCCCTGTCCTAGAGGAAAGATAGAATATAAATTCAATAAATTAATAGATGGCATCCATTCTAGATTTACTTAACACAATTAGCCTAAGGTATGCTTTTTAACCACAGTGGGGAATAAGAAACTGCATGTATGTTTTTATTCATCAGGTTGATTTGCTCAGTTTGTCCTGTCAACTACAATAGGACAAGCAGTGCTAGATCATATTATGGTACTCAGGAACCAGCCTTTCTGTCTTCCAAGTTCTCTGATTCCATTTCAAGCTAGGTTGATCCAGGTTGGTTTGATTGTAGACACTGAGAGGCTTAGAGCATGGGAATGTTTATCCTTTTTAAGTATACAGAGCACACTAAAAATTAAAGCCAGTTAGTACTTGCCTTTTCAGGCCTGTAACTGAACACAGAGAATCATGAGCCAATCAGTACTCACTTAACTGCCAATTGCTCAGAATATCATCCTGTTCCTGAGTATTGCACCTAAAAATACATCCCTTCTTAAACACAAACATACACAGGGAGAAAATTGCTAGCATTTATGTGACAAAACCTCATTTGCCTTTCAAGCTCCTTAGGCTGATTTAAATACTACTCTTTATGTTAGTCCCATGCCATCATCCCACCATAGTAAAGTTGTAGGAGGGCCTGGGGAAAAAACATCAAACTAAGCATCCCTTATAATACAATTATAAAAATTAGGATCATTCCAGTTTTTTGCAATGCAGGTCTGGTAACCAACCACCAATGGGAACACAGACCGCTCCTTAAAACACAATGTAGTCATATGCTATAGCTTCCATAGGGGCCATTTCTGCTTAAAATGTTATTTCGTCATCAGTGAATAGAACACCATGAATACAGGAATAATTCAGTAATAATCACAATCAGATATGACATATTGTGGTCACCCATTATTGGATTTGTACCCGTCTGGAAGAATCTGTAGTCCATCTAGCATTCTTTCCTTGCTGAAATTGACTGAATGCCTTTACAGTAGACCATGCGTATATGCACAGCCTCTTATGTATTTCCTTACAACTAGTATTGAGAGGCATACAGTTTCCAATACTTGACATATAATGATTGATCATATATGATAAGTTGCCATTGATAACTTCTTTATTAATTTGTTTATATTTTTAAAAGTACCATTATTTCTGGAAAATGCAGTAAAATCTTAAACAATTTCATATGTGATATAATAGTGTACACAAGAAAGAATACTTAGATGTTATTATAATCCCACGCATTATCCAGTTCATAGTCATTCTCCATACAAAACATGTCCTCTCCGACAAAGTATTAATGATTTGCTGACTGTTTATTGAGTGAAAAATAAGAATATAAAATATGTAAATTCCACAGAATATATAGTAAATGTCTTCTGCTGTGTGTGCTGCTAAATGATGCTTGAAATACCATGCCTAGCTAAAAGTTCAGAATTATACAGAATGTGTAGACAATAATGTCTCCTCTTTGTAACTCTTTTGTATTTTCCTACCACATTCCCATTCTTTCTCCATACCAGAAATAATCTGTTAAGAAAGAAGAAAAAAGGAACAGTGACAAAATGCCTTTAAATTCTTGTGTAATCCTTAGTTGTTCTAATTTCCAAAAGACTACAAGCACTGCCACATCACCAGCATTTCCACACTTTAATTCCCTACAAAGCAGTTTGTAACTACATGAAAGGAAATTAATCTAATCAGTCTCCTGCTCCAGTGTCACTTCTATCCCATAAAAAAGGGGAAAACAAAACAGGATTAGGACTCTCTTCTCTCATGCTTTCCAGTATATGTGTTTGCATGAATTTGGTGGTTGAGAAGGGCTACAATGAGAAGTTATGCAAAGAAAGTTTTTATTTATAACAAAAACCAGTAAAAGTTTATCTTTTCCAAAGGCTTCCCAGCTGCTTTGCTATCATTTTTCTATGTTTAAGAGCCTAGCTACGTTGTGAAGGTAAAAGAATAGTATATCAGCAATTTTATCATCTGTATTTCCTGTATACCTGTATGCAATGTTGAAGTTGCGGCAATGGCTTCGGGATGTGTGTTTGGGTGTATCAGCAGATAATCAGGTCTAACCAATATTAAGATAGGAATATAATGCTGAAATCCTGGGGGTGGGGTGAGTTGGGGGAGAAAGAGGCACCAATGAGTGACTTAAGCTCCAGAAGGTGACACAAGGCAAGGATGACCACCAAGAGAGAAATTGACTGTCTACAGCATTTTCTAGGAAAGTAGAGCAGAGTCAGAAATAAACTGATTCAGCTTCCCAAACAGACATTGGGATTGGTCTAGTCTGGATTGATCTCACAAAGTGGAACCTACCACTGGTGAAGAAATTCCTGTGCCTAAACAAGATATAGCTAAAGTTAGCCTTTCTGGATCATACATCATTTCAAAATTGGCTTGCTTTAATCTTGATAAATATTTTACTAATATTTAAAATATTAAATACTTTAATATTTCTAGAATATGCACAGGTTCAAACATAACACTACACACCATTTACCTACTACAGTGGCTTGGTTCACTTATCATATTAAGGCAGAAGGCTGCTTGCTTAATTTTAGCTTGGAATATAGTGCGTACCCTATCATCATAGAAACATAAAATATAGAAACATGGAACCTAGAAAACCAGGTATATAGCCGGGATGAACAAAATGTTTGTGGCAGGAGATGCACTTATTTTTTAGGAAAAGTGAATATTTGTGGTATTCATTGATAAACCCACAATCACAATATTTTTTCTGTTGTCTTTCCTTATATCTCTTCCTATTGTTTTTTCACATATAATAAAACTAAACATTGAAAAGATTTTAAAATGCGATTATATTATTTCTCTTCAGCAAAATTCCAATACATTTTTATAAGATATATGTGTTATTCACTGTGCTTTGTCTAATCCCACTTTATAAAATATGATTACTTGCAGTCTCCTTAAATAATAGAACTTCAG